ATTTTATTTTATTTTTTAATTTTTATAGTGCAAAGTGCATATAGATCATTAAGTTATATTAATAAAGAATAATTGTTTCAGTACGAACGATTGCATCATTAATAATTTATACAGTTTATATCATGCGCTAATTAAAATTAATTTTTTTATAACATGAATCGTTCATAAAACTGTCGGATAGGTTAGTAATAATATTATAAGTTTTTCAAAACAAAATATTTTTGTGCGTTAACTAAAATAATATATCCTACTATAAGTTCTAGAAGCACATGTTAAAGAGTTTATATCGGACGAAAATAGCAAATTTTCATTTCCTAAAGAGCATGGTCATTCTGATGAAGATGCCGGTAATTTTAGTTTTATAAAACGATCAAATAGTGTAAAATATTTAAATAATAATTAATATTGTTGGTATGTTATTCTTAAATAGAGAGATACCAAGAAATTGCAGAGAAAGCTCATAAACATTTAACATCGACTGGAGAACATGAGGCCGAAATTGATCATGAGTCGATTCGTGACAAACATAAGAAAATTTATGAATCGGTTCGTTTAAAAATATTTTTGTTTAACGTTAGCTTTTTTTTTAATTTCGAATCCTAAACTTCACAGGATAATGTAACAGAACATTCTGATGAAGAACTTGGTCACGCTGCAGCTTTTGAAGCATTGAAAAAAATGTGTAGTGGCGAATCATATGATAAATCTGCACTTCTTTCATTGGCAATGAGTGAAGGCATGAAGCTTTGGAAAAAAAAACAAGCCGCTGGTGATGGTGATGGCGGTGGGCAAGGTAATTTTTAAATTGAAAAATCGTATAATCTTTGTTAATTGTAAACATATATTTAATATTATTTATTTTTCATAGAGGAAATTTTAGGAGGTGCTGCAAAAATGGCGATGAAATTAATGAATAAAGGTGGTGACGATAGTGATGGTGGTAGTAGTGGTGGTTTAGCCAGTCTGATGTCTTATTTTAAATAATATTATTTTAAAACCTATTGATTTAATTCATGATTAAGTTTTATCAAATGTTCTTCAAACGAACTCTTGAATTACCTTTTAAAAAAAAAATTTTGTCAAAACTTTAATAGTTTTGTATTTTAATAAAACAGTATATATTTTGGGATAAGTGTATGAGCCGCACCACTGCGATGTACGTCTTATACATCGCATGTATATACAAATTATAATTTATCGTCATAATTACAAATAAGAACAACCAAGATAACTTGGATGTTTAGGTAGGAATTAGGTTTAGGTAGGGTTAGGATGTAAAAAGGGGCCTTATAGTAAAATTTTGCTAGGAATTTTTTTTGTTAGAGCGCGAAAGATAGTTTCATATTGCTACGTTACACGTAATATTGAAATTTGATTGGTTGGCTATTAAGATGCAACGCAGGCTGCAACAGTGTTGGGTTATGACCTTAAATGACCAATATGACCTATATGACCTTTATGACTTTTTGGTCATAATAAAAATTGA